GGGTCCAAATGAAAAGCTTTTGGGGGCTCGTATTTTTCGCGGTTGAGAGCAAGGTAAATGAAGAGGGGTGGATCGGGGTCTCCAACCCCCAGACCCCCCCCTCGGACCCCCCCCCCCCCCCCACCGCCGTCCGCCGCCCCCATCAATCTCCTGCGCGGCTAGAAAAGGCGAGAGAGCGGATTCAAAGAGCAACAGACAGCCATCACACACCTCAAATGTAAGAGATGGTGGCAAAGGTATTATTGTGTCTGTGGTGTTCCAGCATCGCCTCCTTGGCTCAGGGGCAGAGCGTTTGCCTGGTACTCATCGAAAGCAGAAGGTCGAGAGTTCATATCTCTCACGAGGCATTGGTAGGAGAATGGGACTAAGTGCCAGATACGTTTAGTATCGCGTCACACAGTCTTCCTCTTCTGCCCTTGCGATCGCTCGGTGTGCTCTTCACCCAAGGCCGCCGAACCGCCGAACCGTGATGGGACTCCTCCCCCTCACACAAGAAGGTGACTACTGCGAGCCCCCCCCTCTTCGCCGCCTCTCCCTTGCTGAGATTTGAGCAGTGACGCCGCGATCGCCGCCATACTTAAAGATAATTATCTCCAGTGCTTCCACCAGTCGAAGCTTCTACTGTTGGAGGCCCGTCCAAAGAAAAGAACATGATCCACAAAAGTCTTTACACGGAAGTGGCCTGGTTAACTTCTCACTTAGAGTCTGTTGTTATCGACTGTTGGCAGTGAACGTTCGATACATGCTGGAGGACAAGAGACCTGCGTTGCCTTGAGTCAGCTCGAGAAGCGCCAACTAGCAACCCCCGATGGACGTGGTGCACTGCCTCCCTTTTCGTACCCAGTCGCCAACGCCTATCCAAAGCAGACTTCATAATGACCAGGCTTTACATTATAAATACAGGCAAGAAGCAGCATCCTACAACGCAACCTCCCCCACCATCAAACGCAAATGTCTCCCGACACGCCCTGCCGCTTCCCAATAACTCAAGCAAGCGGCACCCTCTTGTACGTCCTGCGGAACCTCTCATCCACGCGGTCGAGGTAAAATGTCCCGGGGAAGAAGTTCTCGGCATCGACAGGTCCTACGGGGTCGTAATCGCGGACATTGTGGGTCTTTTCCCGGAGCTCCATGATGGCTTGGAATGCCGCGGGGGTGATTTGGGTGCGAGCTGCGAGGCGGGCGTTCAGGTTGAGGGCTTCAGCGATTTGGGTGGTGGGGCCGCGGACGGTGAGGGAGAACATGGTTGAGGCGAGGCCGGAGCCGTAGGAGAAGAGGACGATGCGTTTATTTTGCTAGCGGGGGCGGGAATCATGTTAGCCGCATACTTCTTATTTTCGACCACGTTGCTATCCCAAACTCCACATCCACACCCCTGAAACTCACCAACTGCTCCGACTCTACCGCCGAAATCAGGCTTGCAAGCCCAAAGTACAAGCTAGCAGTATACCCATTTCCCAAGCTCTTGGACGCCGTCAATGCAGGCGCGACCTTCTTCGCAAAAGACTCCTTCGTAACCTCTATAAACGCCTTCTCGACATCACGGTTGCCGTAGGTATCTTCCGGCTTCAGAGATTTAAACTGGGCGTGAGCGGCATAGGCCGGGTTCTCGGGGTCCCGCAGGAAGTCGTTATAGGCAAGACGGCCATAGGCTTTAGCGACGAGCTTCGTATACGGGGAGTGGAAAAGGAGGTAGTCGAGGGTAGCGAGGGTCGGGGTAGGGACGTTTTCCTGGGAGGGGTACGAGGGTTAGAAGGCTTCTGATGAGGAAAGGGGGCGTGAGCAAGAGTATATAGATCACTTACGATCGTAGTGAGCTTCTCCAGGTAGCGGTTGTAAGTTGTGTCGACGGCTTTGAGGTAGCAGACGTTAGTGAGGGGTCCATCGACCTCGGGGTACTCGCTGTGGAGGTCGGGCTTGTAAAAGTCATAGACATGTTCCATATGGGAAGCGCGCACTTTTTATAGGGGCGATTGAAAAAAGATAAGCCAGGGTCATGCGAGGACCACGAACCATCCGAACCATCCATCCTCAAACCCAATAAACTCACCGCGATCAAAGACCAATGGCGCATTCGGCCCCACAAGCATAGCAACGACCCCGGCGCCTCCTGTCGGCCTCGCCGGCCCACTCTTGTAAACCGCAATATCACCCGCCACGACGATTGCTAGTCTTCCATCCCACGCGGAGCTCTCGACCCAGTTCACGGCGTTGAGGAGGGCGTTCGTTCCGCCGTAGCAGGCGTTGGTGGTGTCGATGCCTTCGATGTCGGAGTTGTCCGGGAACAAAGTCATGAGGACGGATTTGACCGACTTCGCCTTATCGATGATCGTCTCCGTGCCGACTTCGAGACGCCCGATGCGCGAGGTGGGAACGGAGTAGGTTTCGAGGAGTTGGGAGACAACTACGGAAAAGGGGGTGAGGATTGGTGCTGGGATGCGGGTCCGGAGTCTTGGGATTGGGTGGAGAACTTACCGGTAAGGCAGATGGAGTGGATATCTTCGCGGTCATCGCAGATGGCCATGCGGGTCTGACCGAGACCGATGGTGTACTTTCCAGCGGGGATATTGTCGAACTTTTCGAGTTCGGCTTGGTCGACATACTGTTTTTTGGAGAAGGGGTGCGGAGGGGGTCAGTAAGTTTATTCAGCGGATTCGCACACTAGGGCGGAGAACACGCGAGTTGCGTGTCCAAACGGCAGCAACCCACTCGCCGCAGTCCACCGGCACGCGCCGGCTCCCCTCCCGCTTCTATTGAACCCTTTTCAAGATCCTGCCCCCAACCCCAATGGGGCCCTGGGAAAGGTGGGAGGAAGATGGGAGAGAAGATCGTGGCGCTGGAGCAGCGAGACCAGCGGCCCCAAGAGGAGGGGACACGGGAGTGAGCAGCGGGACAGGTTCGTACCTTTTTCGGGAAGTACATCTGCACACCGAGGATGCCGACGTTCTCCGGGACGATGCGTTGGTGTGCTTGAGTTCCAGTGAGCATTGTTTGTGTTGGTTGTTCCGTGACGGGATGAAGGTAGAGCTCTTTCCGAGAAACGGGAAAAGGCGTTGCAGTGGCGTTGAGGGTTTTAAGGAAGGGGAGAGGGGAGCTCCGGGCGAGTTTATGTTTCTTTTTCTTGCGGCAAGGACGCTACGCACGGGCAGACTTGGATTCTGACGTTTACTTTGATGATTTTGATGGCACAAGCACGCCCACATCATCCATTCCCCATCCATCCATTCTTTGTTTGTTTTGACGAGTGGCATCATTCTTTGTTTGTTTTGACGAGTGGCATCATGACGGAATGCATGGACGCGCCGACCAAACCAAAAACAATGGACCCATACAACACACGACAAAAGTCATGCACGCTATTCTCGCCGTCCAATCATTTCATTCGGACGCGGGTTTCTGCGTGCTGTTGCTGTCCAATGTGATGTGCGTGTCTTACGATCATCCCATAGCACTCATCCAGGGCATCGACGGACTACGGAGTTCGGACACGGTTCGGACAGGTGGCATCAGAGCATGCTGCGCCATCCTGCGCCTTCGTCCTGCCACATCGCCACACCTCCACCCTCAGCCCTCCTCCGCCTTCCGCCTGAGGCCTCGTTGAGGCTGGAGACGGCCAGATGCTGTGCAACACCCGAGCCTTGAAGAATGAGATGGTTCGATGCCTGAATCTCAAAACCGAGGCCTGCCTTCCGAGGCGCTTCCGACCCTCCCCGGCCTGCTGCCCGGTATGCTGTTCTCCGGCTGCCCGCGCCAATGCTTTCCATCCATGCCGTTTCCGGGTTGCATTTAATAAAAAGAAAAACACCCCATGCCGCCCCATACACTCTTGCCCTTCTGGAACTCCTTTGCGCAAAAGTGCTCTTGCCATCAAGAGATCTCTTACTGCGTCTTCCGTTGTCTCCCGAGTGGCAACCGGCACCGACAAAGCGAACTCCACGACACAGACCCCGCGGGGAAAGTCAAAGTCGGCCTTAAATTATCCCCCTGTTGCCGCAACTTGAACTCTGAACACCGGAAAAAGGGAAAGAAAGCTTCTTGCAACGATGCCCCTCTTGGCTACTCTTCACGACTCCTTGCTGGACTGGACAGGTCTGCAACCACAGAAGCTTTACCTGTACGGCGTTCTCTTGCTCCTTGGCGTCGGATATGTTTGGTTGCGTGGGGAGGTGAGCGGCCGTTTGGGGAGGGGGAGGGGGGGGGGGGGGGGCGAGCGGAGG